TGAATTCTTGGTAATTTTACCCTTTTCTTAGTAAATACACCGAGATTTTTTTTCAGTGTTCCATTTTGACGCGTGGAGACAGCGCCAACCCTTTTCCTGTTTTCCAATTTGATCTTGTTTTTGAAAACGGTGTTGATTTTATTGTTCCAGGCTCTTGCCCTCTTCGCCCTCGTCGCCGCCGCCTCCGCTGGCTACGTAGCCCCCTACAGCTACCCAGCCTACCCAGCGGCCCCAGCTTACGGGTATGCAGCACCCTACAGCTACGCCCACGCCCCCGTGGCCGCCCCAGTCGTCTACAAGGCCCCCGTCGTCGCCCACGCTCCCGTCGTAGCCCACGCCCCAGTCGCTGTTGCCCACGCTCCAGTCGCCACCTCATACGCCAACACCTACAAGGTAGGCATCACGCAATACCGACAATACTCCCGTACTCGCTGGAAAAAAAGAGAATTTTAAATTTGCCGCCAAGAAGTATTTCTTCTTAAATCAAGAATTTTGCTGGTTAATATAAGCTACTTTTTTGCTTAACCCAAGCATTATTTTTCTTGAATCAAGAAAAAGTCAGCTTAAAGCAAGATAAAGAAAATTCTCGGCGTCAAATTCAAGAATTATCATGCTTGATCCAAGCTACTCTTTTTTTCAGTGAGGGAAAAACGCCCTATAAACATTCGAGAGTTGCTGAAATTCCCCCGATAAAACATGTATTTTTGACGGCATCCATGCACATTTTTCTTCGAAATTTCCATAAATTTTAGATTAAATCGCGTACGAAATTGTCTGAAAATTTTAGAAAATAATAATTTACCCGGAGAATTCGGTTTTTATTGGAAGAAACTTGGCAACATCTGAAGGCTCATACTGCGTTCTTCCTCAGCAAGGCAGAATAGCCCTCAAGGACTCCGTGATATAAAACAACTCGTCATTTTGTGTCATTTTTGGGAAAGGCACTAAGATCAGGGGCGGTTTTGCGAGTTGGCAACACTGTTTTCTTTCCATTTAAATATATGAAAAATATCGATTTTAGGTGAGGCGCGCTGCCTCGCCGAGAATCGATTGTTATACATACATTTAAATTGAAAAACAGTGTTGCCAACTTTCAAGAACTGCTACTATGATTAAGATGGATCTGCAGCTTTTGCGCAATTAATTCTGGGTACGAGATGAACCATGGACTCAATTTTTCAACTAAGGACTAAAATCTCTGTTTCATCCGTAAAAACACTTATGTGCTTAGGAGGAACATTATGGGCATAGAGAAACTAATGATGCATACGTCCATTCTCAATTGAGTCAGAATTTGTAGTCCCTTATTGTAAAATTTAGTCCAATTTATAATTCAATGATTGAAAATTAAAGGCAGATAGCACGATTTATGTGATGGGGTGCATAACTCATTTGAATATTTGTTGTTTTGCAGGTCTCAGTTAAGGCCCCAGTCGCCTACGCTGCCCCCGCCTACGGCTACGCCGCCCCCG